CCAGACAGTGCTTTCATCTCTCCTTTGTCTGCCTCATTCCCTGACTGTTCTAATTGCTTTTTCTAATGCTAGATTGTCCTCCTTTAGTAATTTTTCTTGTATTATTTTTGTGATTGATCCCATTAAGTTCTTATCCTTCAGTATGTCATCCCCAGCTTTGAAAGCAAAGTCATTTGTTGTCAGCTGCAGCTGAATTACCTATGCATTAATTGCCTTTGTAGGTCCCAGATTTCACTCATAGATGGCTTTTTCCTTTGTACAAAATATTTCTCTTTGAAAAATATGCAGCACCAGCTCAAACAGCCTGCTTGGATTTTTGCTGCTTGCTTCTCTGAGCTTGTTATTAAGCCCCCAATCTCTGCTGATGTTATTAGCAGTTTGCACAACACGTATTACAAAATTAACAGTCTTGAAACTGCAGAAAAGTTGTCTGTGTCAAGCTCTGCAAAGATTAACTTTCTCCTGGCCCTCTTTCTATACTGCTTTCTGTTCAAGACACACAAGGGCATATTTTTTGTGCTAGCCTGTTTGAAAGCCATTACTGATGGATTTTCTGTGCTGTCACTCTCTGGATTTATCCTGCAAAGAGCAATAAAGAGTCAAAGGAGATAGAAATATACTAAATACAGTTTAATGACTTTCCCCTACTCTTAGCAGCTCAGCTGATGATACAACAAAAAGCACCTTTGACATTCCTGTGCCTCTGAGGGAATGAGCCCCCCCCTTACTCACCAGCTGCAAATAAGACATGTCTGTGACCTCCTTTAAAAGTGGGTGATGCATCTCCTCCTTCTTCCCTGGAGGAAAGTAATACAGCTTGGGCCCTTCCTGACCTTTTTTGCACCTCCTGGGATAGCAGCAGAGCTGTCCATGCAGACATCCTGCTGGCTGCTGCCAGCCTTCCCTGCACAACACGCTGCCCTGCTTCTGCGGTGCTCAGCCACTGCCAGACAGCCTGGTCCTGGGGGCATTATCACAGCCATCTATATCTGCATCTGACAGGCAGCAGCCTGATTTCCAGCTTAGCCCACTGACTGTTGTGTAATAAAGTACAAGAAAGGCATACGCGGCCCTTTTTGTGCCAGCTAGAAAGATGCCAGACATCTTTATTCATTATTCTGTGCAAAGGGGTGTGGGGAGGATTTGTATCCTAGGAACACACTTCTTTATTCCTGTTGAGTAAAGAGATAAGCCCTCGTGCAACACTTCGTAGCATAAAGAAGCTGAAGCAGTTGCTTGTTTTGTGATTGTGGAAAAGTCTGAAGGTATCAGATCGCCTGAATGCCCAACTTTACTGTTGCTGCTCTCACTGAGTGCTTGTACCATGGCCATACACCAGCCTCACGCAAGCTGAGCAGGGGTGCAGCATCAGTGAGTATGGAGCTGTCAGAACCCATTTCAGCCTGCAGTGGAAATGCTAAGTCACAACCTGAAGCAGTGATTGAGCACCTGGTGGGAAGGCAGGGCCAACCCAGGAGAGCCCAGGTGCATGCAGTGTATTTGAGTGATTGGAAGGGGTGGAGCCAGGATCAACCCCTTTCCATACCTCATTTAAAGGTTGGCAGGAGGAGGTGAGGGTATCATGTTGGAGCTCCCTGCCTATCTGAAGTCTTGTGAAGGTAAGCAGCTGGTTTTCCTTTATTTTTGTGTCTGTGGTTGCTGTATTTGGGCTTGCTCTTGTTTGCTGTAGCTGAAAACTTATCCACCCTGCTGTTATTGCTGTACTTTCCATCACATTATAGCATTACACAGACCGGAGCTGATGGAAACTCAGATTCATCAAGAGCTTTCAGGGATGCTGCTTCAAGAGCCATGAGATTAGGCTCCTGTGTTTGTCAACAGGATTGTGCTAAGTTACAAGTGACAGTATTTTCCTTCAGCTTTTCAGCCACCAGGGAGCCTAGGCACTAAATCCAAGAACAAGCTGAGGAACCCAGGTGGAGTGGTAGCAGTAGCCACCTGACACAAGGATGAAAGTGCCCTCTCATGCTAGCAATAGCAAGAGAGGGAATGGCCTCAGCATGTGCCAGGGGAGGTTGGGGATTGAGTGTTAGGAAAAACTTCTCCAAAAGAGTGGTCAGACACTGGCACAGACTGCCCGATGGAGTCACCATCCCTGGGAGAGCTGGAGAACTGTGGAGATGTACTTTGAGACGTGGTTCAGAGGACAGTAATTGGTGGTAGGTGGACAGCTGGACTATAGATAATGTTAGAGGTCTTTTCCAACCTTTGTGTTTCCCTGCTTGTATGAGGGAGCCTCCCAGCACTGGGGCTGTGCTGGCTGGTGCAGTACCAGCCAAAAAAACAGGAAGTTATTTGGCAATGCGTGATCTAAACCATATGGCCAGTAAGGAGATGGCAGTAGTGATCTGTGTTTTAAAATAATAATAATAATAATAATTACAAGATGTAAACAACAGACTTTCTATACAGAGATGAAGATGGAGATTAATGCTTGAATTATCCTGTGTAATTAATGTAGCAGGTAATTATTTAAAATCTGGCACATCTGTGAATTCATCACTTTGACTGAATTAAAGAATCTTCACAACTGCTGCAGTAAGATGGCTCCAGCAATCCCCCAGGGAAATCTTTATGGGAGATTAATTTAAACTTCAAATGGCAGAGATTTGCAAGAGGATTATGTGGCCAGTATGACACATCTGCATTGTGACTGTAAGTGATACTTTTTTTTTTTTTCCTCAGAGAGAAACCGAGCATTGTTTCTTTAAGTTCACGCACTCTGAGTGTGAGGGCTCAGCTCTCCTAGAAGCAGAGTGTTCTGCAGCTGAAATGAGCAGTGCTCGAGAGGAAATAGTGACAAGAGCAAGGGCGACACAACAGGAGCCTGAGGAGAGGACAAAGAATTCCAAACTTGGATTTAAATTCCTAATGCAACAAGGTCACGCTTGCAAAGCTAACAGATGTTTCTTTAGCTTATTATAAAAGTTGCAGAAGTTGTTGTATGAAAACATTACATGATCTGCTGTGGCCCTGCAGGAGCCTTCAGACTGTCCATAGCTGTGGAGCTTTGTATGTGGTGGTCAGGCCTGGGCTGGGTATCAGGTGATTGCTGAAGTGTGGTGCTGCTGGTATTCATCACAGGGAAGTGAGTTCACAAAGCTGCTGCTTCACATGCAGGTTCACTACTCATAGCACTGAAGAGAGCTCTAACCAAGAAAATGGTGGTTTCCTGCCCCCCTCCCCCAAACAAAACAAAAAAACAAACAAACAACAAAAAACAGTAAAACTGAAGTCTCTCTCTTCTGTGCACTTCCAGCTCAGAACTGCTGCCAGTTCTCAGCTGATTTGCTCAGGTTCTCAAAACATCAAGGTGAGTAACTGAGACAGGCTGAGTTCATAAACCCCAGGGGAATTAACAGCAGTAAAAGAGAGGAAGAGAAACAGCAAAGACACGTGGAGTACAGTATGGGGTGCCTCTTTTAAATGAGGGTATACTGTGCTCTGTGACTAAGACTGTGAAGAAGTACAGGTGAAGCATGTCAGCACATCTGATCCTGTCCCAGCACTGGCTGCAGCCAGCTGTCATGGACACTTGTAGAAGGGATGGATTTCTAGGGTGGATATCTAGCCAAACAAACATCTCCCCTCTGATTCCCCATTAGGACCTTTATGTTTCTGCATTAACAAACCTGGTGTATATGTGTCTCTAAGTAACAACCTTGTGCTCTCTCTCACCATCTTAAGCTGAACCCCCAGATATTGCTGTCAGTGTTTCCAAGTGTCTGTAGTTCCTTAAAACGTGGCTGAGTAACCCAACACATCTCATGCTGCCAGGCATGATCTGCATATTTCCCTACAGAGTGCTTCAGAGACTCGATCTATCAGTGCACCAACTGTCTGCAGCCTCTTCACATGCAGTCACTCTTCACATGGATTTTTCCCCTTTGCCTCGCAGTGAGCGTGTCCAGGGGGAGATGCAGCTCAGGCCCTTGTATTTTGAGCTGATTCACACCATCTGCAGAGACTAATGTGCTCCTCAGCCACCAAGGCAGTTGTTTTAAATCAAGAGCTGCACATAACTTGAGAGTGCTATTAAAATGGAGTTGAGCTGCACCTCACTGTTGAATTGTGAGCACATTTTAGCCATGTCAGAGCATTGGAGCATAGCCAGAATGCCAGTGTAGTAATTTCTGGGGCATGATGTTCAGACATATTTAACTCCCTGTCCTACACTTCACGGTGTAGTTTTGAGGGCTGCTGCCTGCCCAGGCTCTACAGATTGAATGGCAAATACCTCAATTCAGGGATCACCATTTTGCATTTTGGAATTCAGTTTTGCAATTCATTGCAATTCATTTTTTGGTGATGGTATGAACACGTATCTCTGTAGCTGTAAAATGATGCAAGTAACTTTCCACCTTTACTTCATTGGGATGAAATGCACTAGAGCAAAGCAAGCAGGCACAGTGTTGTGGTGATAGCATAAATAAAAAAATCAGTAAGCTGTCTCCAATTTGGTGTAGTGATATTGCAGAGGTGAGATTTAAAACATGGCACGCAGTAAAATGTTACCACTTGTTTATGAACAAGTGCTGAGTTAATAGATGCTATAAAAAAAATCAACAAAAACTATGAAATATCTTTTTCCAGGGAAAAGTGTGAGAATTCATTGGCTTTTGACATGAGAAACAACAGTTTGTGGTAATACAAAAACTAGCAAAAAGCAAAAGAAAAACAGTATCCCTGCTTCATTTACTGGTAAGCCTGTGATAAGCATCAACTCTAAAGATGAAGCTAAGCTTCAGCTTCTCAAACCTTTTCACTGAATATTGCTATAATTATATTTGAGAGGATGGTATTTTTCTACTCAGCTGTTCTACACTTTCAAGTACACTCCCAGCAAGGAGATTGAAGAAGTGATACTGCTTTGCTGCAGCCAGTTCCTTTCTTGTTCATGTCACCTCCTCAGCCACTGGTATTTGCTCCAGTACAGCCCGCCTAAAACTGCTGATGCTCTTTTCTCCTCCCTCCCACAGGACCATGCAGACATAGAGTGGAAGTTTGCACGGACAAAGCTCTGGATGAGTTACTTTGACGAAGGGGCCACCCTGCCTCCTCCCTTTAACATCATCCCAAGTCCCAAGTCTTTCTGGTACCTCTGCAAGTGGATTCACAATCAGCTGTGTCCGGGCAGTGATTCTGACAATGAGCAGAAGAGACATGAAAACCTCAAAACATTCACGGTAAGAAGCTGCATGGTTTTAACCTTCAGTTTTTGGGAGTGCATGTTCAGGGTCACCAGGATCACCAGTACACTGGTGTGGTAGAAGGTTGCTGCTGGATCATAACTTGCCAAGAGCCATCATTACAAGTAGGATGACATGGGTAATGTGCCTGTGCCTTTCTCTTTCCAGGAGCGCCATGCCGATAACCTCATCCAGAATCAACATTACCAGGTAAGCTCTCCAGCAGATCAAATTTTCATTTGCTTTTTCTTCTTCCTGCTTATTTTCTAGTACCTCACTTCTTGTTTTCTTCTGGAACATATACAAATGTAGGAACTCTGACAGGATTTTGCTTATGGATTAAAGCATTTCCTCAGTAAAGGTGACACGGTTTACTAAATCACTCCTGACTCTTCCACCTGCTCTAAAGTAGCAGAAAAATTACTGTGTGTCACGATTGCTAAGTCAGAGGCTGCATCAGCAGTGACTTCAGAGGGATCATGCTGCCATGTCACCCTGATTATAACTGTTTCTGCAGCATTTTTACAGAAGGCCTCTCAAGTTGCTCTTCTACTCTTTTTTGCAAGGCATCCCTAATCCTACATCAAACAGTGGTTGAGATTTCCTTCTGTTCTGGGCAGCTTAGGAAGGAGGAATTGTTCCTGTGTTCAATTCTGCTGTTTCTGTACTTTCTTAGCCTGCTGAGTTCATTATCGAGTTCATTAAATTCAACCTATGAAAGGGTGAAACTATGAAAAACACCATCTTCAGTACCTGAACTCAATGCAGTCGTTACGCCAGCATGCTGGAAGAACCAAAAAAAAGGTCTCCTGAATGTTAGGCAGCACATCAGGCTATATTGTCAAAAGCCCCACAGTTCATCTTTCTTAAGACATCTCCTGTTTTCTAAAGAGTATTTGCATCTGGAGCCAATGTTTAGAATGATCGCTTTTGGCTGTGTACATTTGGTGCTCCCTGGTACAGGGATTTCTTAAACACCTCTCAGTAAAGCCTTGGTGCAGAGAACATCTTAGTGCTTGGTCATACTCAGACTTGGTGTCACAGTTTCTGGAACAGGGAAAATGGAGGAAAGGTTTGAGATAGTGTTTTCTGTATACAGAGATCAGCTGCTGTGTGTGCCAGATAACCATAGAAGCCTCAAACAACAGTCTATTTATGTCAAGCCAGCAAGGAGGGACACAGACACAAAGCAAAATGGATTTCATCCTACAGAGATCTGGACCGTAACAGACGTCTTCAGGTTAACACTGAGGAGTGAGAGCCTTTAGAGAAGTCACCAAAGGCAAGAATCAGTACTTCCAGTAGTGTCAGTGGATGCCACAGCAGGTTTGCAAGGAGTTCTCAAATCCACCACCAGAGGAGACCCAGGCAGCTGGGGGTTAACGTTGCCCCGTGGAGTCCTGGCTGTTCTTCAGGTTATTTGCTGATGCTGTACCATCTTTCCAGTATTTAATGAACCATCTTAAAATGGCAAGTTTAGCTACGCAGTATACATGAGACTGGTAACCTTGAACTTTTGGCATCTGAGATTAAAAACTGCAGTGAAGGAATTTAAATACCTTGAAGATATTTAAGATAATAAGAAAATTTTGCTGAACAATTTTTACAATTGGAAAAGTGCAAAATACTTAACAGCTTTCAAGACAAAAAAAAAAAAAAAAAAAAAAGCAATGATAATGGTGATTTTTTTTTTTTTTTTTTTTTTTTTCTTTAAATTCATTTTAAGAGAGCAAAACAGGGAGAACCACTGTCAGTAAGTGCTCAGTACACCAAGAATGGAATTTGTTCAGAGCCAGAATTTGAATCATTCATGTTGTTTCTTATTTCAGGAAGTGATTAGAAATCTTGTAAAAAGATATGTTGCAGCAATGATAAGAACTTCCAAAACCAATGAAGGCTTAACTGAAGAAAATTTCAAGGTAACTTTTTCTCTCATTAATGATCATATTAATTTGAGTAGCTACTTGAAGAGTTCCCACTAATTGGGGGAAAAATGTGGAAATTCAACCTTTACAGGAGCTGGTGTGCATGTGTTTCCCTTTGAGCAGAAAATACTCCTCATTCAGGTGTCTTCTAATATGGTCACTTCCACAGATTTTAATACACAATACTGAACGTAGGCAACGGCTTTAAGCAAAGTACTTGATTTGCATCAATTTCGCACTCCTAATCCCAGACTGAGGCTGGATTAGTGGATGTGAAGAACACTTGTAAACAAAGTTAAAGTTGCGCCAACTAAAAGATTCCTGTAATATTTCTAAATTCCAACAGTTTCATCACTTCTATAATAAAATGCCTTATTTCAGCTTGTCCCCCACTGCTCAGGCAGGAAGAAGGGGAAAGGGGTGTTCACAAAGGCTGGGCCACAGCCTGTGGTGGTAAAGAACTTGCAAACTTTCCACTTGTCAGGATTCACAATACCTTTTTTTTTGCTTTTCCTCTGTCATCAAATAATGATGATCTATGTAGGCGTTCATCTATGTGGTGTTCTTGTAAGCATGATTTGGTATCAGCACTTTGCTTACCTCTGAGCAATCCTCCCAAGAGAATGTGGTCACTCTTTCACCTCACAGATAATGGTGCTGAGCGTACCTCATTTTTCCTCTTGCCCTAGGAATTAAAACAGGACATCTCAAGTTTTCGCTATGAAGTCCTTGACCTGCTGGGAAACAGGAAGCCACAGAGGAGAAGTTATTCTACCAGTAGCACAGAGGTGTCTCAAAAGGATGAAACAAATGAGGATAGTGCTGGAGAAAAACCCAAAGTCAAAAGTGTGTCTTTCAATGTAGCCAACAAAAAAAAGGATTTCAATGTATCTGCGCTAATTAAAACAATGTCTGGGATTGATATGGTGGAAGAGAAGCCAAAAAGCAATGGGATCAGTAAGCGCTCCTTCATCCGAAATGGAAATAGAGTTCAGAGGCTTTCCAGTTCCAAGAAAGAGTCCTTTAAGAGACTGGGGCTGCTGTTCTCCAAGATGAATGGACATGTACCTGAAGCAAATTCAGAGCCCATGTACACTATTTCAGATGGAATTATTCAGCCACACTACATGTGGAAAGACATCAAATATTCTCAGATTGATAAAGAGAGAGAAGAGAATTGTTCCAAAAGTGAAATTAACCTCAATGAGGTAGACTACAGTAGGAACACAAGACTTACAGGACAGAGCAAGGAGTGCCCTGTGGTTTGTACCAGCTCCCTTCACTGTGCTTCCAGTATTTGTTCCTCTAATTCCAAACTTTTAGACTCATCAGAGGATGTGTTTGATTCATGGGGAGAGGCTTGTGACTTGTTTATAAACCAGTGGAAAGAGGGGCAAGAGGACCATGTTACAACGCGACTATAAGTAAGGCTATCTTAACGCCTGGTGGAAGATTTGGTTGTTATTATTTGTAATTGTTTGCTCTCACCTGGTTCAGCATTATGAATTCTTTTCTGCCCACAGGATGAAACAAATGTGAAACTCTGTTAGCCTATTTTATAGCTATCTGCGCCTTCTATTATTTTATTTTTGTTTTATCTTCACAAAAACTGAATGGAAGGCTTTACCATTTACAAAATCACTGTAAACCACAGTACTCATTCAGCTGCAGCCAGTCTTTGAATCCCACTTAATTCAGATACACCAGTGGCAGAGTAGAGGATTCCTCCAGTGCTCTCCTCATCACCCCAGCACGGCTGGGTTATCACTCTGCCTCCTGCTTGAAGTCCTCATCAGCACATCCAGCTGGTGAGCAGTGGCTTAGCACGAGGCTGGGAGTCACGTAAAACCTTTTTAGGAAGGGTAGAACTGGCTTCTTGTTTTCTTTAAGCAATACAACCTCTGATTCTTGCAGTAGTATAGTTTTCAGGTCATTATATTCATATTGTAAATTGTTACTAAGAGACACCTATGGTCATGCAACTGGAACACGTTATGATTTGCCCTGGTGGGGAACAGAATGGCCTCCCAGTGAGGCAGGCAGGGGAAGCCAGTAGCTGGCCTTGCTCCCAACTTCTGCATTGATGAACAACCCAAAACCAGCTGTGGCTGCCTGAGACAGAAACCTCAGTGTGGTTCTTATATCACTAATGGTAAACCAAAACCCAGCCCCGAACCTCACCCTTACACCAAGCTGCATCTGTTTTTGAAATTCTTGCTCTTATTTCCACTGCTTCATTTGCTTTTTGCTGCCTTCCCAGCCAATGTCACGTTTCAGGCAGAAGCCACCCACCTGTGATGTCTCTGGGTCTGTGAGCTGCATTCCTGAAAAGAAACTGAAGTTTCTTAGAGCAGCCCGGACTGGATCTGGCACCCTGGGAAGTCTCTGCAGTCCCTTTACGAAGGTGCAACAAAAAGGAGCATGGCAGGAAATGTTACCCTTCTGTTAGTGTTTTTTCAATTGTTCATTTTCCCCCTCCATTTCTGCTAGGCCATGTCCGGGCACTCCCATTGTTTCATTTGTCCTAAGTAGCATCAAAAAGGGGAGAAGATGCCCCATCAAGAGCAAAATGGTTGACACGGTGATTCTCCACAATGCGATACTTGGACTTTCTGTGCTGTTGCTGAGATACACGGGTGATTGGCACTCAGTACTGCTTAAGAACTGCTGTTAGTTGGCTGCTTGCCAGGAAGAAGTCAGTGCTGACCAGGAGCTGAGAAATGGCTGTTCCTTACACCATGGCTGTGTCAGGCTGAAGGCTCTATTCCAGGACAGGTTATGTGGGCTGGAGCACATCCTGAGGTGTACTGCCAGAAATCACCTCTCCTGCAGAGGCAGTGCAGTCCTGCATAAATGAGATGCTGGGGTGCCTTGATGCTTTGCCTGTTATGGAAAACCACCACCTTGTTGGGATCTTCCTGAGGACACCTATAGAGAACAACTTTGTGAACAGCTCTTGTAGCAGACCTGCAGATGCTGACAGGCTTGGCTAGAGGAAGCTTTGAATGCAGAACTTGAGGGGGAAAGCAAGGCTTTAGGCAAGCAACAGCACTAAGAAAAAAGAGCAACCAGGAAGAGAGACTCAGAAATGTTCTCCTTGTTAGCAGCACGCAGCATACAGCCCAAAGGATGTAAGCCTCTAGCTGTGCTAGGCGTGAGAGAGCAAAAAGCACTTCAGCGTGAATAGACTTCAGGCTTTCATGCTTACTGCAGGGTTATAGCAGCCTTTGACAATTGCATCTTCTCTTCCTGAAAGTGAGGCTGAGCAAAGCGTCACAAGGAGACGTGCAGAATGTTGGGGGTCAGAAGCAGTTTGCTGATTGCTCAGTGAGAAATCCAACAACTCTGTCTTTTACAAGGCAAACCCACCCACCTAACGAGAGCTGCAGTTAGAAGCAGCTGAATGCTCTAAGCAGCCCACAATAAGTGCCCACAGTTTAATAAATCTAATGTAGTCTATTTTTAGAAGCATGAACATTAATGTGAGCTGCTACAGGGAGTAAGGAGAAGGGTTTGAATTATTTTATGCCTCACCTAAAAATACTGCAGCTTATGAACTCTAGGGCAGCGCATCTTTACATTACCAGTGTAACAAGTGGGCATAAAAACCACCTGAGTTTAGTTGTGCAGATGATATCAGCTGAGTTGGAGGCTGGGACAGATGCAGGGCTCACATCCTCAGACAGCAGAAGAGCTTTTAAGTTTTCCACAAATCAAGCACACTGGAGCTGGCTCCGATTAAAAGGTGTCATTCAAATTCAGCCCTACATTAACAGGTACAAGTCTCAAAATGAAATGCAAATAACTGCAGCAACGCCCCTCAAAAACATAGAAGTGGCAGAGGGTAATGCAAATCCCCTCTGTGCAAATCGTGTGAGTCATGTCCTCCTGCTGTGTCCTGAAAGGGCAGGGGTAGGAGCTGCCACATTGTAATGGCATGATGGATAAAGCACTGCAATAATCTCTTGATAGCATTCTGTTGAACAGGAGAGGAACATCACAGGGCTGCTGGGCTGCAGCTCCTGGGGGATTTGTTTCATGACTCAGATGCTTCCAGCTATGAAGTAGTTTGAGCTGACTTTCACACTGAACACAACTGTTTGCTTTGACTAAGTGATGAATACGTTTATCCAGGAGTTTGCGAAATTGTCAGTCTGGTCTCCCCAAAAGGCCAAATTGTTTGATCACATCTATGCACCCCATTTTGTAGCAATAGGCTTTATAGCAGCTCGTGAATTATCATTACTACTGTTAAGGAGGAGCATCAGGGGAAGAAACTGAAAGATCTTGTGGAAAAAAATACATTTGATTGATCCCAGTCTTACTTTTCCTTTTTAAAATCACCTGCAGTCAGACTGTTGCGGATTTTACTTACATTCTTCCATTTTCTTACTCTTTCCTTCAGAGGAATGGTTGAAGCATCTCTCTGCAGTTTGTGCAAGCAGCTGGGGTAGGAGCTTATGAGACACTGAGCATCTTCTGTGAGGAATTAACTTATTCTCTGGTTCAGGGCGCACAGCTGTGTCACAACTGGCCTATGCCTGGCCTCTGTACTGGATGCTCCAACAACAATCATCATATGTATGCTATTTGGAATTTGGAATCACACAGGTCTTGATCACTTGGCCTATTCTTTAGGTTTCCTGCTCTTCAAAGTAGCTTTATTTCTCACCTCCCATCCCTGGCATCACTTTCACCTGGCTTTTTAACCTACAAACAATCCCCAATAGGCAGTCAGACCCCCCAAACACGGACCGTCACAGAGCTACAAGGCAGCGTACTCAGGTCAGAGATTGAAGTTGCTTTAGAAATAAGAAATTAAGTAACATCTCTGCAGATTATTTGGATAATTGTATTTGTATATTATTCACGTACTGGTATATATGTAAATACTCAACTATTTGTATATGTGGTCCCTACAGAAGCAGCATGCACAGTGACAGAGCACAGGACTAGACAACAAGACTTGAGGTCTGTTCCCAGCTCTGCTACTGACTCACCTGTGACCTTGGGCAAGTCACACAGCCTCTCTAATGCCTCAGTTTCCCCATCTGTAAAATAGGGATAATACTCCTTACCTACCTCGCAGGGGGGTTAGTTCATTATTTACAAGCACTTTCAGATCTTCGAATCAAAGGCGCTATATACAGTAACTAGTCAATGCTCGTAGCAGTGGTACGTACTTTTGTCTTCTGAAGACTAATTCAGGTTAGGATTTCACTATGTTAAGATAGTTTCCCATGTAGAAAAAAAGCATGATTTCCCACCAGGGGATTTTAGGGCACTTCTACAGTAGACAGAGACCTGGGAGCCTCAGCTAACTTCCTTGGTTTTGTGACATGTCTCACTTGGAAGCTCACCTTACTGTACACTTGTGTTTCACCCTTTTTCTAGTGATACTTGTAACAATTTTTAAACAGAAATTGCCACTGTAAGTACTTATTATATAAATGTATTCCTATACAAAACCTTACCCTTTAAATAGATTAAAGCTGGTTGTCACAACAGACTTCCAGGCATGGGGAGGTTCCACAGTCAGCCCAGCACAGTTTATGTACACACAGAAGTAAAAAAAAACAGGCACACAAGGGAAACCTCCACTTTGGAAAAGTACTAACAGCATAAGCAGGGATTCCCTTTACTCCAGGGCTATCTCACCAAGTCAGAAAACCAGGCGAATACCAACTGCTCTCTCACTATTAGGTATAGGTCCTACAACACTTGGAACTTCTCAGTCTTGCTTTCATTTTTTTCTTTCCTTTTCTAAAGGCCAAAATCTCGCAGAAATACATATTTTATATGTATGCACACACACACACCAGAAAAAGGCTCCATTTTTGACTGAGTTCTCCTTTAGTCAGCTTGCACTGCAGTGTGCCAAGTGTCCCACACACGTGTCTGTGAGAAAGCTGTGCACAGCCACCAAGGCTGACTTCCAAAACAGCAGCATCAGCCTCCCAGCCCCATTACAATTCCACCGACATCCAGAATGGAGAAGTACAAAAAGCAAAAGGCATCCACACCACTGAGGCTGCCCAGAACAAATGAAAACTGTTACTTACCCAGTGACTCTCTGGAGCTGCCCTTGGGGTGGATGCACTGAAAGTCGCTGCCCCCCTCTGCAGCTGCACCTGCCCAGGTGTGCCAGAAGCATCAGTGATTTCCATTCATGCAAAGGGAAAATTAATTGAAATCAGTAAGACTACAGGGAATAGTAAATCAACCCACTAGAGTATCATCTAAATTAAAGTGTCACCAAAATAATCTGCAGTTTTCAGGGAACGTGTAACTTGAACCTTCACAAGTATAAAATCAATCCCTGACTGAGTTTCTGGAGGCAGTGGGAGGCACTCTGGGCTGGCCACGTTAATGTATTTTCAAACCATTTATGATTCAATTGCATTTAATTTTTACACTGCTTTCC